TATGTATAGTTGCTCTTGTGCTAATGGTATCTTCGCCTAGAAAGTTTTCGTTTAATTGGATTCTGGACAGAGCATCTGCCACATAGTTTTCTTTTCCTGGGACGTATTTAATTTGGAAATCAAACTCATTTAGCTTGATTTTCCATCGTTGTAATTTCATGTTAGGTTCTTTCAGGTTATTTAACCAGACGAGTGGTCTGTGATCACTAAGGATTTGAAATTGTCGACCAAAAAGATAGGACCTAAAGTATTTAGTGGCCCAAACGATTGCTAATAATTCTTTTTCAATCGTTGAATAATTTATCTCATGCTCGTTGAGAGTTCTGCTTGCATAGCATATAGGCTTATGCTCTTGCGAAAGGACGGCCCCTATTGCCATATTACTTGCGTCTGTAGTTAATGAAAATGGTTTTTCGAAATTAGGGTATATTAAAATTGGATCGGATGTTATGAGTACTTTTAGCTTTTCAAACGCTGATTCGTAGTCTTTGTCATTTATATTGATCTTTGCTCCTTTTTTAAATTTAAGTGTTAATGGTTTTACTATATTAGCGAAATTTGGTATAAATTTCCTATAGAAACCACATAATCCTAGAAATGATTTAATTTCCTTTGGGGTTTTTGGAATTGGGAATTTGACAATTGCTTGTATTTTGTTGGGATTTGGTTTTATACCCTCAGTTGAGATGATGTGACCGAGAAATTCAGTTTCTTTTCTCATGAACTCGCATTTATCCAACTGTAGTTTTAAGTTAGCTTCTCTAAGCTTCTCAAATACTTTTTGTAGCGACAATATGTGTTCCTCCAATGAAGTGGAAAAAATTATAATGTCATCTAAGTAGACCAGACAATCCTTAAAAATTAAATCTTCTAAGAGATTGTTCATACAACGTTGGAACGTTGCAGGTGCATTCTTAAGACCAAATGGCATGCGAGTGTACTCGTAATGGCCATGTTTAGTCGAAAATGCGGTCTTGGGTATTGAACCAGGATCCATTTGAATTTGGTGGAAGCCTTTGGCTAGATCAATGGTTGTGAAATATTGGCATTTTCCAAGTTTGTCCAGTATTTCATCCATGATCGGGATAGGGTATTTATCATTAATAGTTAGTTCATTGAGATTGCGGTAATCTATGACTAACCGGAATTTTTGTTTTCCAGATGCATCGTTTTTCTTTGGAACGATTATTACTGGTGAGCAGTAAGGGGATTTAGATTTACGTATGATATTTTGTTTTATCATATCGCTTATTTGTTTATTTACTTCCTCATCGTATATTTGAGGATATTTATATGGACGCTTGTAAATTGGGTCCTCATGTTTTGTTAGAATTTTGTGTTTAATTGTACTAGTGAAAGTCAAATTGTCACCTTCATGGTACTGGATATCACGAAATTTATGTAAAACATTTTTAATTTTTTCTTTTTCTTCTGGGTTTAGGTGCTCTAGCCTAAACTCATTGTTTTCTGTTAATTCGTTATTAATAGCGAAGTTAAATGGTCTGTCCTCTTTTGAGGGTGGATCAAGGCACTCTTGTGCGGTCATGTCCTCTTCGACCTCTTCGTCATTATATCTAAAACAAAAGGTAAACTCTCCTAAGGTTACGGATCCTTGTGCATAGTCTATTTTTGCTTGACATGCTTCAAGGTATTCTCTCCCAATCAGAACATCATAATGCTCTGAGAAGTCGTGAATATAGAATTTTTGATTACTCGGACAAATTTTGCTTGCTCCTAATCCTATGCTTTGTTTTAATTCAATGACACCATTTATGGTGTGAACCTTTAGTGTTTCTTTGTATATTGGAAAATTTAAGCAGTTTGTTTTCATTAGGTTTATAGTTGAACCTGTGTTAATGACACATTTTAAAACTTCGTCGTTCATAATCAATTTTATGAATGGATTTCTTCTGTTTGTTCCGAGGCTTGCTGATGAAAATTTTCAGATGTGTCCATTTTCATCTGCCCACTGTGGCTATCTCTTTGACGTTTAGTCGGAGGGTTTGGCGCATTCAAGCGTGAATGGGGCTGATTTTGATAGTTTAAAGGATTTTGGGTTCTACCTTGATTTAATTTCTGTTGGAACTCGTGGTGAGCCTTTTGATTGTCTTCAGAATTAGTGTGCTGTTTATTTTGTACATGATAACTCTGATTCGTGTTGGAATAGCCACTTGAACTGGTGGCTGGGCTAGCATTTTGCTGATCATTTCCCGTGTTCCTACGATTGTTATTTTGATTTCCCTGAACGTTATTAGTTTTAGGTCTATCAGTTACGCTATTTTCGTATAATCCTTCTCTTTGCGCTACTTGTTTAAGTTTCTGTGTCGACGTTATGTCGTATCTGGCTAACATCATGAAAAGCCTATCAGGTAATTTTTTTGTTATTACATCTTTAATTGTGTTATTCATGGCATTTGTATAAAGTGTCGTATTGCTAGGTATATTTTCTAAAGCTAACTTGTTTAATATAACATAAGATTTATTTTCGAGATCCTCGATGAACTTACGGACGTTTCCCTGGTAATTCGTGTTGTATAGGCGTCGAAGGAGTTCTTCAAATGGTGTCTGTACTTTGTATTCTTCAATCAGTGCGTTCCTCAACTCCTGCCAAGTGTTGGCTGCTGTCCTTTGTGAAACCCTCTGAGCATCTCCAGCAACTTGCAATTCGATGGCTCCATATAAGATGCTGTGTTGTCTGACATCTCGGGTTGGATAAAGATGTAGGATGTAATCGATCCTTTTAATAAAAGCGTTGAGATTTTCTGTTGATCCGTCAAAACATGGCACCTGTCTAAGTTGCGATAGGGCCTGGTTTAGGTGTTGTTCTGATAACTCCATCGTCATGGTTTTGGTGTTATACACTTTAAATAGTTTTTTTTTTTTCTTTTGAGTGTGTGTCTTATGGATAAGACCCAGTAATAACGTATTGCAGGGATCAAAAGATATGCAAAGCCAGTCGTTATTAACTGTAGTAGTTTTATTGCCGAAAGGGTCGAGGTTATTAGACTACTAGTGACCCGAAGGTTCTTATGCGGATACGTATTCGAAAAAAAGTTTGTTACACACCGACAATTACCGACAACAATTTCGGTCGCGATTGTGTTTTTAGATCTAGGAATTAATTATCCTTTAGCGATCTTTACTTTTTCCCGACGTATCCTACCGACTGCGCCAATTAAGTTTTGCACGTTTAATTACTTTAAAAAAATATATTTCAATTCTTTATTTTCACTTAACGGCTACTTCTTATGATGAGTACAATTAGATTTGCTTCCCGAATCTTGACTAATTCATTTATCTGTTGCGGTCGCTTAGCAAACTTCGGTTTGAGAGAGTTTGAGTCAAAATTGAGTGAAGTTTGAGCTGCGTCAGCAATTATGCGTGGGATAGTACTCTGATGGGAACATTGACAGTGGCATGATATTTAGGGTGAATTGTTTATGTCTACCAAAAGGGGGACAGTTTGATCTTGACCAATGTCGATGTTATCACCAGGCTTTTTGTTTACAATATTGGAAGTGTTTATACTTATGCTTATGCTTGTGTGCTAAGTTATGTTAAAGGGTGGGTGCGACTATGGATATGTCACTATATATATATATATATATTATATACTTAGCAGTTTTGAGCCGACCAGACATTTTGCATGCTGTAAACAAATTATCACAAAGATGCAGCAAAGCACATTCTAAGATATCTTGCGGGTACAAAGAATATGAAATTAGTATACCGTAAAAATGGCAAACCACCAAAAGGATATGCAGATGCAGATTGGGGCAACGATCGGCTGGACAGGAGATCCTATAGTGGCTACGCATTTTTCCTGGCAGGCAGTGCGTTCTCTTGGACTTCATCAAAGCAAAGCGTTGTCGCATTGAGCAGCACTGAAGCAGAATATATTTCTTTGTCCATGGCTGCCAAAGAAGCAGTTTATCTACGCAGGCTACTTAGTGAGATGGGATGGTCAAAGGCTACAGAGCCGTTGACTATATGTGGCGACAACCTAAGCGCGCAACATATTGCGCAAAATCCAGTCCATCATAAGCGCACTAAGCACATAGACATAAGGTATCATTTTATACGTGAAAAGGTACAATGTAATGATATTGCATTAGAATACGTACCTACAAATAATAATGTTGCAGATATACTAACAAAATGTTTAAGTAAGCAAAAGCACGTACGCTTTGTAAAAACACTTGGATTGAATTAAATTTGTTTTTTTTTGCAACTGATTATAATTAGCTTAAGAAGAAGTGTTAAAATAGTTACAATAAGCTGTTAAGCTTCTTTATAATCTGGCAACATTGTATCAGCATAATACTCATTCTGTAATTGAGTACTTGTTCAGATTTTTGTACTCATGCTTTGAAGTTTCTATTAAACGTTTAACCGAACCACTACGTGTGTTTTCTTTATGTGCATCTTAGGCACACCAGAAATATCCCAACAGGGCATTCCCGACTAGAGCCTTCCTACATGTTATTTATAAAAAAATTTGTTTTTCCTGCATTGTTTCAGCTTAATTGGACTTTGCTAATTCCGAAGGACTGAAGCGGACCCATTGTTGTAAGAAACGCTGATTATCTCAAAGCGTTGCAATCTTTTCTAACAAAGTATCCATCTCGAATTGCACACAACTCAATGCTATTACTAAGTGTACTTGAAATTTTACCCAAAGACTATGTGGGCATTACCAGAACTAGCTTCTGAATTATATATTTCACAACATTCTTTATTAGATTCAAAAGACATAATAAAACGGGTATAGCAATTTATGAAATACACTAAAATAAAATAATGTTTTCAAGAATTATAATTTTTAGGCGGATATAATATTTAAATCACTAAAAGCTCACTTAAAGCGAGCTCCCTCTTTAAAAGGCGCAGCACTTGTAAAGCTTTCGGCATTGAAAATTCAATCAAAAACGTGGCAAGGATTCGCGAATGCTACACAATTGACGAAAGCCTTGGAATCCCTTGAAATTAGTCAGGATAACATTTTAGAGATTTATAAAAGGAATAAAATAGTGCCGAATAAAATTAATATGGACGCTAAATCCCATGACGCGTAAGCTTTAAAATAAAAAAAAACGAATGATATTAACTTATATTTAATTTCAGATGGGCGTATCCTATTGTGTCGACCATATTTTATGACACATTAAGCCATTCAATTGGTCGGTATATAAGCTGGTTTGATCATGTATTTTTTTAAATAAAACTTTTTTTTTTAAATTCGCAGTTGTTCCATTGTCGGTCATACTAATACCATATTTTAATGCACGTTTGCCTCCATACCTGCATTATGCTTCAATTGGTGTTTCTATTGCTAAGGAAATTCTGCGTTCAATAACGAAAAACTTTGATGATAAAGCTATGCGTTGTGTGCCGCATTCTGTAAACATATTTTCGAACTTCAGCCGAATGGATCTATTAATTCATTCTGGAGGGATGCAGATTTCATACCATTCAATGCTTTCACTCACTGGCCCTATCAAAGGAATGCCTCGTCTCCCAGAATTAAATTTGAAACCAACACAAATTTTTTGGTGGTGACTGCCCAAGAACTTTGTACTGAATCAAATTACATGGGAATTGACACAAACGCAACCGAGTTTGACAACATGTAAGTTCTTAAAAACACTTTTTAAAATGAGCAAACAAAATAACACCTAAGGGTAATCAAAGCATGTCCATCTTAATAAAGTTTACATACATAACATCAATTGACATTATATTCTGAAACATTTTAATCAAAAGTTTTTTCGCCCGCTCAAAAATATTTTAAAACATTCCTTGTTGCACATAAAATTTGGTTCTTGTATACATTAACGAAGAATATTTCACTTTGCATACTGTTTTCAAAGTTTCTTCGTTGATCTATAACAATCAACATTAGCTAATAATGTAACAAAGCAGGTAGCCAGTTTTCGGCCCTGGCTGCAAGAAATGAATTTTAAAATACTACATTTAAAGTAATCCCAGATATGCAAACCAAAATATGTAAAAAACTTAATGTACTTTGTTTTAATCTTATACATTTCAGATTGGGGATCCATCGGGATCTATGATCAATATTCAAAAAACATGCAATGTTCTTTAATTGAAAAATTAGTGTATATACTAAAAAAAACGTATAGAGTTTTTTAAAAGAACCATTGTAAACAACATAAATAAAGAAAAGCACAACCGTATTAAGTTAATTACTGAAACGTTTCAATTTGAGAAAGTTTGCTTGTTGGGCATTGAGCTTTCAGTAGCTTGCAACTTGCTGACCGATCAGCAACTTTGCCCCCTCAGGGAGGGCTGTTGGCGTTGGGTGATCCTCTGTTGGATCAGCATGGCCAATGTCAACTGGTCTTGCAGTGCGTTGAGGACGGGATGCAGGGGTGCTAGCGAATGTGTACGACCCTGGTTGCATTCACCCAGGTTGCACAGACGGCACTTATCACCGCTGTGGCTGTATTGCCCGAAGTACTGGTGTGACAAACAGTTAAGACAGTACTTTTTTATAAGTACTAAGCGGAATCTTTTCTCTGCATTCAGTCGCAAAAATCGGCCGCATTATCGTAGAAAATAGATCCCGCGTAAATTTGGCAGGAAAAGGGATGTGTTCATCAGGTGCGAGTCACGGTGCCGAAGTTCGATTTTAATTTGGAAACTGGATATAAAAATATATATATGAAGATTTTACCGTTGGAGATTTCTAGTAACGAAAAGGCTTTGCGGGTCAAAATTTTGATCGACGCAAAAGCATGAGGTGCCCATGCTTAATGTAGCATATCTAGAAAGGACAAATCGAGGAAAAAACTGTCATCTCCCAGGTGTTACTCGAACCGTGACTAAGGGATTGATGACACATTGCTAGATTCCTACAACGATGGCCTCTGAAAACCTGGCACCACCATCAAAATAAGTGCCGAAACCGGGCCATGGGGCTCTGCGTCATTGCCTCTAACCAAAATCTGCTATATCCGTCTAATTAATAATATTGGCTCATTGGTGCATGAGGCTTTTAAGCTTCCTAAGATAAAAGAGATGTACCTTAGTGGAATAACTTTCTCAACAAGGCAAAAGTTCGTAAAGCTGCTTGGATTACCTACAAATCTGCTTTAACACTCTACAACAAAGAGATGAGAAGATCTCAAGAGGCTAAATAGACGGCCCAGTATTGATGAATCGCAACGCTTTACAACGCAATTGAATCGATTAAGCTAATGATACATAATATGACACATAAATGTCATAAATATGTCTGATAAGAAGATACACCCGCAACCCAATCAGCAATCCGCACACAGCTGGAAACGAATGGCGAGTTAATTAAGCCTTGATGTGCAGCCGATCGCTATGATTGAAAGGGGGCGCACCATACAACAGATAAGGCAGCAGTTCCTGTCCTATCTGTCATGAAAAGAAGTAAATATCAGCTAGTGTTGCATCAAAGTAGTGTGTAATGGGCCATTGAAAGTTTAGGTCCCTACAAATCTTCCCGAACCTGATGGCATACAACCAAGATTTTTGAGGCGTGGAATGTATCAAGTCGTTCCAATATTGGTTAGAATACTCTGTTAATCCCAACACGTGTTTTAAATCAAAAAGATGTCGTTTTGATGTCGGTTAAAAAGAATTTATTGAAAAATATAAAATAGCTTAGCCTAACAGAGAGCTATGTAGTTTGGCATACCTATAAATAGTTTAACAAATAGTTTTTTTTTCTTACAGTTTTTTTTTTTAAATAAAGATATAAAATACCATGATTCAGGATTGTTCCCGCTCGAATTTGGGCGTTCCGAATTTTCAGCTACGTTCCGATCAATGTCATACCTTAACTGTGCAGCATTAATTGTAGGTCTTTGCTTGTGATTAATTTTCTTGTTGTATCGATACACTAATATGCAGACCGATTCGTTAAATAGATAGCTTTCGATAATATAAGAGTTTTATACCGGTACTCGATATAAATTTCTTCAGTTTAGGAAATATACCTGAACTTGGGGGAAGTGGGTAAATTCTTCGTTCCTGGGCCCACGGGGAGTGGTTATTCGAAAATCTACCATTAATAAGTTTCAGAATCTACTTTCTTGTACACATGTTATTAACGGTAGATTGTAGGGTCGCCGTAGCAGCGCAAGTGCAAATAGTGTAGCGGCTATTATCATATAGGAGAGTATCGATTGAACGAAGCAGGCCATCCACAGCCAGGAATCCTCGCTAGGGTGCTCGTTGAAGAAGTGCTATTTTCGGCAGAGAAAGATGGATATGCTCTTTTTGAAGTTCATCCTTGAATTTCGTTCTTTTGAATTTGGTTATAATTTGAAATATGGATCATTAGGCAATGTACTCAATGGAGTCCTCGTCTAAACAAACATTGTGAAACAGACTTTTCAGGTCTATCGTAATTGCTTTGTACCGTTTTGTTATGTAGCCCTAGTCAACGCAAATACTTACTTTCCATATTCTGAAATTTGTAACGCATAGAAGGTGATATAATAAATCGGAATCAACAACCAAGCCGATATACCCATGTCTGTCTGTCTGTTTCTATACAAACTAGTCTCTTAATCTTAGAACTATCACCATGACAGTTAGAATAGACGTGCTTTTCTGTTGCAGGTATTACATAGGTTGGAACAACCGGATAGGCCCTTAATATCAATGGAACGATCGGTCGGAAATAAGGTATTTGTAAGAAAAACTTTTTTGTATAGCAAGATAGCTTGTAACCTTATATATTGGGTCACAGCTTGTCATGACTACTGCTGTATCATATATTTATACTGGAAATATAGGTCGACAACAATTTATGAAAATATAATTATATACAAGTATCTTCTTACCAATGTCATCAATCACGAAAATCACTATTTTCCCCACATATATGCAAAACCGTAAGAAAAACAGGCGTCATTGACCGGGAGCGTCAACGCCAGTTTCCAGCTCGACCACTTGCCTTCATACATACTGTTAGGAGCAGAATGGAAATTGATCTTATAATATATATCATGAACGATTTGATCTTAGGGTATGAGGCTTTGGTAAGTTGTTTATTGGGTTGATGGGTGTCAGGTCAAACTTCAAGAGCGGAATTTATCTATTTTTTTAACAATGCTGATTATAATCCTTTAACCATTAAATAGTTAATAAAGTATAAATATGTATGTTTGCCTAAGTGTAAATCAACTAAGTACTTATGAAACACAGCAATTATCCTAATATAAAGCCTGAGGACCCAAACAGGCTTGGCGAAACATCACCTAAGCCAACTGTGTTGTAATAAAAATGTATGCTATTTTTGATCCAATATGCCTCCATACCTGCATTATGCTTCAATTGGTGTTTCTATTGCTAAGGAAATTCTGCGTTCAGTAACGAAAAACTTTGATGATAAAGCTATGCGTTGTGTGCCGCATTCTGTAAACATATTTTCGAACTTCAGCCGAATGGATCTATTAATTCATTCTGGAGGAATGCAGATTTCATACCATTCAATGCTTTCACTCATTGGCCCTATCAAAGGAATGGCTCGCCTCCCAGGATTAAATTTGACACCAACACAAATTTTTTTTTTGGTGTCTGCCCAAGAACTTTGTACTGAATCAAATTACATGGGAATTGACACAAACGCAACCGAGTTTGACAACATGTAAGTTCTTAAAAACACTTAAGGGTAATCAAAGCATGCCCATCTTAATAAAGTTTACATACATAACACTTTTATCGGAAATTTAAGAAGCTCGTCGGTCGGTATAAATCAATTGACTTTATATTCTGAAACATTTTAATCAAAAGTTTTTTCGCCCGCTCAAAAATATTTTAAAAAATTCCTTGTTGCACATAAAATTTGGTTCTTGTATACATTAACGAAGAATATTGCACTTTGCATACTGTTTTCAAAGTTTCTTCGTTGATCTATAACAATCAACATTAGCTAATAATGTAACAAAGCAGGGAGCCAGTTTTTAAAATACTACATTTAAAGTAATCCCAGATATGCAAACCAAAATATGTAAAAAACTTAATGTACTTTGTTATGATCTTATACATTTCAGATTGGGGATCCATCGGGATCTATGATCAATATTCAAAAAACATGCAATGTTCTTTAATTGAAAAATTAGTGTATATACTAAAAAAAACGTATAGAGTTTTTTAAAAGAACCATTGTAAACAACATAAATAAGTTTGCTTGTTGGGCATTGAGCTTTCAGTAGCTTGCAACTTGCTGACCGATCAGCAACTTTGCCCCCTCAGGGAGGGCTGTTGACGTTGGGTGATCCTCTGTTGGATCAGCATGGCCAATGTCAACTGGTCTTGCAGTGCGTTGAGGACGGTATGCAGGGGTGCTAGCGAATGTGTACGACCCTGGTTGCATTCACCCAGGTTGCACAGACGGTATTTATCACCGCTGTGGCTGTATTGCCCGAAGTACTGGTGTGACAAACAGTTAAGACAGTACTTTTTTATAAGTACTAAGTGGTATCTTTTCTCTGCATTCAGTCGCAAAAATCGGCTGCATTATCGTAGAAAATAGATCCCGCGTAAATTCGGCAGGAAAAGGGAT